GTCCTGTTTCACCCCTTGTCACTACCACTGAGCCCTTAGCCCTCTGTTTTGTGCCTTTACGTCTAGGGGTAGGGTGTCCCGTTTTTTGTTGAGACAGAGGGGTAGGGTGAAGTGTTAGGGCTACATGACCCTCCAAACGGAGGTTTTTCAGAGACTCCAAACAGAAAGTTATGAGAAAAAAAGAAAAACTGGCAAGATGGAGAACAAGAGACCAAAGAAACCCACAAATGTGAGATTTTTTTGGTTAAAAGATTACAATAACCATTTTATTATCTTAGTTTAATGTCGTTTCAGTGTATTATGGCCCTTTTCTTGATAACAAGCATATAAAACTGCTAGTAGTTCGCTGTTGTCTCAGTAGCTAGCTAGCTAAATTTCCCATTTCACCTTAAAAGGTGCAGCTGCTGCTCCGTTTAAGGTGGAACGGGAAAATTTGAACGAGAAGCTGGTGAATAGCTGACTTCAGCTCCGTATCACTGAAGAATTAGGGGTGGGAGATAATAAATAAGTGTCCGTATTTGAAGGCATATGACTCCCTAACTGTGAGGTGCTGAACTTTACCCTCCTCTGCTGTCACTGCAGACTGGCAGGGTCGCCTACAGAGCAGCGCTAGTTAATGAAGTGATGTTCTTCTTATTTGAGGGTCCCATTTCAGAGGGAAGATTTCAACCACTACCCCTTGTAACTCAGTTCTGAGGGGCAAAGTGACACTCGAAAACAAGGGGTAGGGGTGAAAATAGGAAATGGGACTGGGCCAAAGTAGAAGTTAGTTATTTTTCACTGTCAGAAAAGAGCAGAAAACTCTCATTTAAAAGTTCAGTCTTAGAAGTTGTTTTCGCATTTTCTCAGTGAGGTTCTTCTTGATCAGCTACACATCCTTTCAGACCCACAGCGCTGAGTCGTCTTCTCACAGTGGAAGGATGGACAGAAACACCTGTGGATGTTTTCAGATCTGAAGCAGCTTGATTTTCTCCTCTCTCTCAGAGACGAAAGCTTTAAGTGCTGTTTATCTGATGGGGGCAGTTTTGGTGTCTACCAGCTCTTCCAGGTGGTTGTTAGGAGTCTTGTTTTCTCTGTAGCTTTTATTGTTTTTGAACTCTAGTTTGGAAACATTTTTCACTTATTTTCTTTTGAATTTCTCTTTGCTTAAGCAAGTGGATTATCTTACATCTAATGTCCTCAGAAATATCTCATGAAACATGAATAACCTGTACTTAATTGCCATTTTGATGGCAATAAAATAAATGAAGGGTGGTCTCTGATTTGTACAAAGTACTGTATGTAGTACACTTTGTTGACATAGAGTCTCAGAAACCACATAAACAAGTCTATTTGATATTGTTTAACAGCTCAACACGGGTTAAATGTGTGGTGATTCAGCCACAATGCTAATTAGTGGCTATAAGCTTCCATTACTTGTGAGCTACATTAGACTTGTAGCTCCAGAGTTAAACTAAAGAAGCGACTTTAGTAACCAGCATGTCTTGGCTGATCCACTACACTTAGGATGAGGGGGAAATTTGTGTAAAGATAATTTGTTGCCAGTCTATTCCTTTAAGCATGTGAATGCTATCACCGCCAGTAACACAGCTGACTGTAGATGATGATGAATTCTGCAGCTGCTGTTTGAACAGCGCTCTGACCGTTTCACCTCAAAATCTGCATCCTTCCAAACATCAACGCAAGGTAAACAACTCATTGTTAGATTACCTGACTATGGAATACAGTGTATTAACCCTTGTGTGGTGTTCAGGTCTGTGGGACCCATTTTCAATGTTTACCAGAAGAAAAAATGATGTGATTTATTATTATTTCAACCTCAGATTTCTTGTCCTTTATATATAATATATATAAAAACATATAAAATAGCCCATTTTCAGTGTCTTCACTCTGTTCACCCCCCACACATCTATATTACACATGTGGTGTTGGGTGAACCTGCGGGGAGTAAAAGTGCGGAGGTGCTGTGTCCTTCACTCTGTTCTCCTCCTGCATGGCCTGCTGTTAGTGTGTGTGTGTGTGTGTGTGTGTGTGTGTGTGTGTGTGTGTGTGAGTGTGTGTGTGTGTGTGAGGGTGGGCAACATGGACAGGCTGCTGACTGGCTACAGCTGCTAAAGGAGAACCCTGCGCTGGACACTTGTGATGTTTTAAACATCTGGTATTTTTACATAAATTGTTATGACTGTATTGATTTAAAAACAATAATGTGGTGGGTCCACCAGACCAGTGAGTAACAAACACATCAACACCACACAAGGGCTAAATGATTGTTGCTATTGCTGTTAATCTGCAATTATGCTTCACATTTCATTTACCATAATGTGCAAACACAGTGGTTTGCTGCGTACAGCTTGTAGTGTTATATATCCCTATGAAAAAACAAATTGCTGCTATCAGAAAAAAAACCTTATATCTCCTTTTTGTTGTTTTTTAGTTTTGACATACTTTGAAAGTACCTGTTGCTCTTTACATTGTATGTGAATTTCATGATGAATGGACCAAAAGAAACGGCCCAAAATGACTTGGAAAAGCATCTGGTTCCATTGACTTACATTAAAAGTAAAGTGTCTTTTTTCCTTCTCCTGTAAAGTTACTATTTTGGAGATACAAGGTTTTGTTCCAACAGCAGCGGAATTCCTATATGTTCCCAGTATTATTTCAGTGGACAATAAAGTATTCTTATTCTGATGGATTGTGATAGATTTGCCATTCTATATTGGAGCCAAATAAGTGGGATCTAGAAAGAGAGTCAGCAGCATAAAGAACAGCATAAAGTATTTTGCGGTAGAGTTACAAGGCCAATTTAGTTAACAAGTTTAGTTGGCGCCAGTTAGCGTCATGCAAACTGCACGTCTAAATCATCACACATTTGCCTCAAACTGTATCAAGTTGTTAAACAATGTCAAATACACTTGCTTATGTGGTTTTGGATGGTCACCACACCCCGGACATACCATGTAGTGCCACAAAGCGTCGCATAGCATCATGTAAAAGATACAGTGCAAATGCTGCTTTACTACATAGGAGAGTGTTTTTGTTCCCATGGATGTTCCTCTCCTTATCTCTTTAAATAAAACATCAAATGATACATTAAGAAGATCCACAATAGTGTTCCCAAAAGCATAGTTAGGGTCCTGGGGTCATCAGAGGTCATACAAAGGAACAGGAGCAGATTTTTTAATAGTGACACACTTGCCCTCTTCTAGCCTCAGAGAGCTAATTAGATAGCTATGCAAACTTTGTAATGAAAAGTCAGAGCACAAAGTGCAAAAACATTTCAAAATGCTGGTGTGTATATATATTTATATATGTATATATATATACAACCCCAATTCCAAAAAAGTTGGGACGCTGTGTAAAATGTAAATGAATGTAAATAAAAACAGAATGCAATGATTTACAAATCTCATAGGCCCGTATCTTATTCACAATAGAACATAGAACACATATCAGATGTTGAAAGTGAGACATTTTACCATTTCATGAAAAATGTTAACTCATTTAGAACTCAATGGCAGCAACTTGATGGGTCAGACACAGCAGTGCAGAGTTTTTAAACACTGTGTCCACTCACCGTCCACTCCATTAGACGCACCTGCGTTGTTGGTCCACCCTGTAGATGTAAAGTCAGAGACGATAGCTCATTTCTTGCTGTACAGTATGAGCTAATCATCCTCTAGTCCTTCATTGGTGGTCACAGGATGCTGCCCACAGGACGCTGTTGGCTGGATATTTTTGGTTGGTGGACTATTCTCAGTCCAGCAGTGACACTGAGGTGTTTAAAAACTCCAGCAGCACTGCTGTGTCTGATCCACTCAGACCAGCGCAACACACACTAACACACCACCAGTGTCACTGCAGTGCTGAGAATGATCCACCACCCAAATAGTACCTGCTCTGTGAGGGTCCATGGGGGTCCTGACCACTGAAGAACAGGGTAAAAGGGGGCTAACAAAGTATGCAGAGAAACAGATGGACTACAGTCTGTAACTGTAGAACTACTACAGAGTGCACCTATATACTAAGTGGAGCTGATAAAATGGACAATGAGTGTAGAAACAAGGAGATGGTCACATATATATATATATATATATATATATATATATATATATATCACTGTGGTCAGAACAAAACCTTGTAGCTCCAAAATGGTAACTTTACAGGAGAAGGAAAAAACCTACTTTACTTTTAATGTAAGTCAATGGAACAGACTTTTTTCCAAGTAATTCTGGGTCAATTCTTTTGGTCCATTCATCATGAAAATTACACACAAAGGGCAACAGGCATTTTCAAATTATGTCAAAAACTGAAAAACAACAAAAATGGAGACATAAGGTTTTGTCCCGACAGCAGCGATATGTTTTTGGAGCATTTCCATTCGTCCATTCATCGTGGAAACTTAACACAGTGTAAAGTACATCTGATGTGCTAGAATGAAAAATCGGAAATACATATATGTATATATATATATATAGACTTACATTGAAAGGTAAGGTTTGCCTTTTCCTGTAAAGTTACTATTTTGGAGATTGAAGAGTTGCTTTAAAAGTTCACTGATGAGGAAGCAGCTTCAGCTTTTGGTCTCTGAGGATAGTTAACAATAGAACAAAACACAGAGGAATAGAGGGGCTTCTGGGTAAAGCAGTGCTTATTAGTTTAAAACTTTAATCCTCTCTTTTCCCCTCCCCTCACATGAACGCCCTCAGCACCCCTTTTTCTCCTTTCCTGTTTCTCTCTCTGGCCCATTTCCTCTTTGTCTTGTACCCTCTCTCTTTTTATGTCTCACATTTTCTCCCCCTACTCTTCCTTCTCTCTCCCTCCTTCCCCTCCCTTCAATCTCTCTCTCTCTCTCTCTCTCTCTCTCTCTCTCTCTCTCTCTCTCTCTCTCTGTCTGTTTTCTTTCCCCTACTCTTCTCCCTTTCTCTTTTCTTACTGTGGTTCTCTCACTCTCATTAGTGCAGAGGCCGAGTTTACTCAATGCCCCGCCCCGTCCTTCAGAGAGGCGGGGTTAGAGAGACAATAGGCTTTAATCATTCACATGTCCAAGCTTCTCTCACATGCCAGAGGGAGAGAGAGAGGTAGAGAGAGAGAGTGTTTATTAGAGTTCACCAGTTCACCTCAGCTCACACTGATCCACAGCTCCAGGATATTCTGGAAAACTTTGGAAACTCCTGAAAACTCTGGAAAACTACAAAAAACTCTGGAAAACCAGACACACCAGACAAATTGGACTGTAACTGAGAATCTTTTCTTGCCCAGCATTCCAGAAAGACCAGCCTGGACCTTCACCCTCACCCTCAGCATCCTCTTCGTTGCAGTAGTCCAGGGATCCTGCTATTGTGAACAGGTCATGGTTGGAGAGATCAGGAGGTCAGGATGATTTCTCATTACCCGTTGGCCTCACTGCTGCCCTGGCCTCCTCTGCCCCTCTGCTTGGAGCTGGACCGTGATGGAGGAGGAGTGGCCCTGCAGAGATACCAGCCACGATCCCCGGAGAGCAGCACACGACACTGGGTCAGTCACTGCAAACAGCCTGCATGTGTACGTGTATATGTGTGTGTGTGTGATTGTTAGCTGTACTATGCTGGTTTGACTCTGGACTGTCTGACATGTGGAGCACAATTACTTTCAGTGTTAGGCTTAGAAATGTCATGCAAATGGATACTTACATCAGTAACTTTGGTATATATTTAATATATATGGGCATTTTTATCACATATACATGCTTACATATACATTATACTCATGCAAAATGTTATTACCTTTAGAGACTCTCGTGTATCATACAAACGAGATATATTATTACAAACATGAGACAATTTATTATTAAATATAGGTTTTTTAATTGTCGTTGTACAGGAAATTAAGCGAATGTTTATCATTTTTAATGGAAAGTCATTTAAAAGCATTTTAGCCCAAGTAATTGTGGACCATTTCTATGGACCCACTGAACAAGAAAAATGTAATACACATAAGCCATATTATTGCATACGTGTACTTACAGATATATAAAATTCATATGGGAGACAGCATTATTTCACATAGATACACACTTATAAATATATATATAGAACGCTATGTCCCATATATATATATACATATATATAGCGTTATTACATAATTCACATGGGACATATTTATGACTTCACATCTTGCACTGTTAGCATTGTTAGCTGTACTATGCTGGTCTGAGTATAGTCAGTTGGTCAGTCTATGATGTGCATGTGTAGGTTCCACCTGTTGTGGTGGACTGGTGTTTATGTGGTCAGTCAGTGTGTCTGTTGATCATTCAGTTGATCATTCAATGTCATTCAGTTCAATTTAGTGAGCACACTAGAGCTGCACAGGCTTCCTGCTTCATTACTAGAAGCTCAATGCACTGCACAGCTCAGTGTGTTCACAGATCGAACACACCTGACTCAACTCATCAGGTAATTATCACGCTTGAGTTAAGTTGCTGATAAACAGTCAAGCAGCCTTTTTGTACTTTTGACCATTCAAACTTAATTTGCCTTCGGTCTGTGACGGTACTCACCCTTAACCCTCTAACACAAGTGTGATATGATAGGTGTGCATTACAGCAAATCCATGCTTTTTTTATGTTTAATGTACTGTCAGTGCTTCTCACTACAGGTCCCGGTGTAACCTTGTTCTAACGCACCATATCTGACAAATGAACTTAAAAAACATAAAATGATAAGTTTATAGAGTTATAAAATATAGATAAACTGTCAACTGTGCAGTACAAGGTTACTTCAGAGCCTGGTGTTGAAAAACAACATTTTGCATTGTTGTTGTACAGACATAGGCAAAAATTGAGCATTCCTGGTCAAATGACATGTTTTTTGATTTTCTAATGAAAATAAGTTAGCATCTTCCACAGACAACACACTTACAGTTGATATAACACCAATAACATAATATATAAAATGTGCCATAACTTTTTTATTTTTATTTTTATATTATATTTTTTTCCCGATATATTAAATTTAGCAAATAAACAGTAACGGTGTATTAAAATGTGTGTTCTCTGTAGAGGATATGTTCACTTATTTACACTTAGAAAACCTACAAACGAGTAAGGGCATCTGAATTTTTTGCATACAGCTGTAAATACATTTATTCATGAAGCAAATTTCTTTTAAATGTTTCAAGAACTTTCTTCCTCCTTCATAAGCCAACATATTGTGGAGCTCACATTAAAACCTCCATTGTTTACACTACGAATCGGCAATGTGCAGCTCTTTGACTGCCCTGTTGCAGCTCCACAGCAGTAAAAATAAAATAAAGCTCTGCTGATCGTTCAACACAGTATAACAATAAATGGTCTTAAACTCTGGAGTTAATGTAGAACTGCTAATTCACCCTTTAACCCTGAAGGTTGGTGTGCAGACTGCTGGTCACCATAGCAACACAGACAACAAGCTCGCCTAGCTAGTAGCTAACGAAAAGACAAAGAGAAAGCTTTAAGATGAACGTTGATAATTTGGAGACGAATGGACTTATTTGTGTTTATAATCACTCCAGCTGGTTTCCTGATACGTTTAATCTGCAGCGAGAAACTGTCAAACACTAAAAAGTCATGAGGCTGAAGTCGCTTCTCGATGAAAAAATTGTTCCTGTTCCACCTTAGATGGTGCAGCAGTTACATTGTGGCTCCTCAGGCACTGTTTAAGGTGGAACGGAAAAATTCAAACAAGAAGCTGGCGAATGAGAAGCGACTTCAACCTCGTAAAAAGTCAAATGTTGAGAGACAGTAGAAACTGTTCTACTTTTGAAAAAGTTTCCTGCTGGAGATGTGAGAAAGGTGGCTGTAGCTGAGCTACAGCTTAAAGCAGAGCTGTGTCTGTGTTTTTGTTTATATTATATTTTTTATCCTGTATTAGTACATCAGCACATACTGAGACATATTTACAGCCAAGATGGTAAAATGGACATAAAATGTTGTGGCTCCCAAAGTGGTTTGATTTCTGTTGAAAGCACAAAATGGCTTTTCTTAACATTTGGGTTGCCGCCCCCTGGTTTACACCATCTGATAATGCCAGCTGCCGTTTACACTGTGTGAACATTAATAAATGGGCTAATAGAAATGGTCTGTAATTACTTGCAGTAAAGTCATTTTTGTTGCTTCTCCTACAAAGTTACCATGCCATTATGACAGAGACAATGTGTTTGACTGCAGTGCTTATGAACAGTGCTGGAGGTTTTCCGTGGTAGTCTGGGGAACCACTGCCTTCATGTTCTTGTCATTTCTCTATTCCTGACATACTCATTCATGGCTTCATAATTAGTCAAGGAGTAATTAGCCTGTGACAGTCAGGGTTGGCTCAGGAAAACACAAGTGGGGTCCTGGGATTAGAACTGGGAACATGGAAATCAGAATTCTTCAGAATTGTTCACAGTGGTGGTGATAGGAACCAGATGTCGGAAGAGTCCAGTGCTTCTAAAGATACATCACAGAATTCTAACACAAATGGTTATAAATATGCTGCCTGGTGTCTGAGGTATGGAGCCCATGCCTTACTGAGTTGTGGCCACAACTTAATTATCTCATTCCCACGCCTTACTATTTTGTGGCCACGCATTAGGATCTCATTCCCACACGTTAATAATGCTTGGCCAAGCATTATTTGGTCACACTTTACTGTAGGGCTCTGTACATAAGGCTTCACGACACCTACATAAGCTTGTCATCATAACTGATATAACCCTACATAAATGTTAATTCTTATTCCAACAGGCATGATTCACTATAAATCTTACATTTGCCAATTTTGATCAAAGTAGCCTTTATGAGAGATGTTGCAATTAGCATTAATAGACATCTATGTAGAGTTATGTCAGTTGTCATGACAAGCTTAGGTAGGTGTCATGTAGCCTTATGAACTGTACCCTACAGTAAAGTGTCACCCATTATTTTTATTCATATGGGATGTCACCAACAGGGCTCCATACTGAGACATGGTTTTACAGTAGTTTTGAAATAAGATTTTGGCCTTAAAACATATTTTTAAAACAAGTAGTGCATTCTAAGGTAATAAAATAGTACAGAAAGAAAATTTTTGGGGGCTTTTTTGGATTTATATTTATTTTATATTATCAAAATGGCATTAAAAAAAACTCAGAAGACACTTGTAGGCTAACGGGTCATTTTGGATGATTAATAAATTGGCTATATTTGTGTTGTAGTCATTGTGACCCCTGGTTCCTATCACCACCACTCAGTCAGTATTTTCTCTACAATGAACCATTTCACACCAAACCACTCTGAATGACTTTATTCACATCTCAGCAGTTGAATTATGCAGAAATTTTGAATAGTTGGTGGAATTCCTCTTTAATATATAAAGGGATCAACACTATCTTCAATTTCATTTATTCAGTTTCAGAGCAAAGTGTCAACGTCACACTGTGGTCAATCGAAAAGATCACTGTGTCCCTTTTCCTAGTTTGTTAGTCAGACAAAAAGCCTGTGAGAAAATGCTGATTTGGAGAAGCAGATTTGAAAGTAGCTTAAGGATCAGGCCCGCTAAAGCAGCTGCTGTGCTTGCGTGTTTATGAGTGTCTGGTATGTTTGGCGCAAAGTACAAGCTGCTGGTGATACTGTTAGGTTAAAGATAATGAGGACAGTGGTTGGACAATAGGAAGGGTCAACTGAATGAGAAGGGTCTTGAGGCACAGCTGAGAACAGCGGCTCTGCTTGGCCAAACTGACTGATCTGAAGTGCTTTTTGTGCCTTTGAATTTTAATGAATGAGCGCAAATGCATGTAAAAACATCTCGAAACAGCACTGATACTACTGGCACTATAAGCTTGAAAATAAAGGTGCTATAAAGGGGTTCTGTGGAACAATGCCATGAAAAAGGTAGGTTCTAGCTGCATTATGTAAGATTTTCTTGTTCACATTGAAAAATGATGGTTCTTCAAGGGTTCTTTTGTAAAGAAAATGGTTTTCTATAGAATCATGAACACTCAAAGAACCCTTTGCATGATTTAAGGGTTCTTTTCATTGTAAAAGCGTTCTTCAGATTGATGGAGAACGTGCTGTGGATGGTTCTATGTAGAACCTTTTTGAAAAGGTTACTATATAGCACCAAAAAGGGTTTTGCTATTGTAACAAGCTTGATATCGTATATAGAACCGTCAAAACTCCAAAGACCTTTTGCATGATTAAAGTGTTCTTTGTATCCTAAAGCGTTCTTCAGATTGATGGAGAATGTGCTGTAGATGGTTCTGTGTAGAACCTTCTTGAAAAGGGTTCTATATAGCACGGAAAAGTGTTCTGCTGCTGTAACAAGCTTGACATTGTAAGCATCTGCTGGTCTGTTTGGCGCAACACAGCTGTAGTCAGACACATTTGTTTAAATTTAAATGAACATAAAGCACAAAAATGTGATTTCATTTCGAAATAACGCTGTTATGATGACGATGATGATGATGATGACTTGGGCAGGGGCCAGTAGAGCAGGAAAAAGCAGACCGTCAGCACTTCCTCAGCAGTTTTGAAGCACAGCTGACCCTCTGGCCGTTCTGTCCTGTTC